AAACTTCTATTTTCTTTGACATTCTATTGTTCTCTCACTACTTCAGCACGAAAATGTCATTTTCTAAGTCTTTCTATTCAACGTTTTATTTCATCTCTTATCACTAGTATATTGCAGCTCCTATTACTCACCACGCCTCACATAGACACGCTGCGGACACTACACCACACTCTCGTTATAACTCGCGCTCTTCTTCTCTCGACCGTAGTCCCCTTACTACACTCTCACTCCTCCCCCATATCAGCTCCGTACTGTCTCCCCTTTTCGATTATTCAACGTCCAACGATGCCTAACAGACACACTCCTATGAGCATCACCGTGGAGACGCGTCGCTCCTCTCTCGATGCCAAAAAATAAGAAGGGGGGGGCTCCGTCTCGTGTGTTTCTTCCTGTCACCGATGCAAGGAAACGGCGGAGAGAAAGAGCCCTGCATTGCGTCGAACGGCACAATGACATCGCCATGCATGGGCTAGCGCGCCGACTTGCTTAGGGCTGTGTGTGTCTCGGCGAGGGGATTGATCCTCCCCACCACCACCACCACCACCAGTGGGCCGCAGAGGCAAGAAGGGTGCGAATAGCATCACAAGTCTTGGTGTCGACAGACAAGGAATGAGGACAGAGGGGTCAGAGACGACATGCAAGTCGAGTGATCGGCACGACCGTGACGAGCTCGTGCGTTCGTGCGTTCGTGTGCGAGCACGGTACCATGTACATGCGGGCGAAAGCTTGTCGTCGCATGGTGAGACCACACGCCCAAGATGGCACGAGGTGTCGTCTTGGCAATCTCGATCCAGGGAAGGATTGGCGTGTACAGAGCATACGGCGAGAAAAGACGGGAAACGAAAACGAAAAAAAAAAACTAAAAAAAAAACTTGCTCGTGAGAACGACTGACCGGCTCCGAGGGTGCCGGCTCACGACTCGTGCCCTTGCTTCCAAGATGGCGTTTGACCTGCGCGCCTGTCTCTGCAGTGCATCCAGAGCCAAGAGCAGGATGCAAGTCGCGACGTCGCGCTCCCTCCCTCCATCGCGGGTGCGCAGTGAAGGTGAAGGTCTGTGGGTGGTGGGATGCAGAAGCAGCCGAGAGAGACACCGGGATGAATCGTAAATCGCTCGGTTTTTTTTTATTTATTTTTTTCTCTCTTTTCTCCCCTCTGCCTACTTGTTTCTTCCGTTCTGCTGCGAGGTCCCTACCGACTTCTTCTGTGCTGGTCAGCAGGAAAACAAAGAATGGACGAGCACCGCCGGCAGTTGCGTGCCCCGCTGTCGAGGATGTAGTTTAGGGCCCTTCCCCTAGACCTCCCCTAGACCTCCCCTAGACCTCCCCTAGACCTCCCCTAGACCTCCCCTAGACCCTCCCCTAGACCCTTCCCTAAGCCCTAAGGTCCCCCCTAGACCCCTTCTAAGAATCCCATTCAGCATGACACCGCTTCGTATCAGCGGCCGACCCCCGAGAATAGAAACAGGCGCTGCACCAAGACACGAGCGGCACGACCAAAGGCAACAGAGATCTCTCCATCGGTCGCTGAAAGGAGCGACCACGGCAGGAAGACGATCCATCTCCATACCAGGATCCCGACCGTATCTGTCTGTCTGCAGACAATGGAGGGGTGTGTCGACATCGACCGTTACGGCTGCTGATGGAAGGGTCCACGCAGGGGTGCGCGGGAGCACAGGAACAAGAGAAAACAGGCAGCGCAGCCTCAGCCACCGCCCGTGGACGCAGATGCGAGGCTCTATTTCTGTCCTGGACGACCTGCCTACCTACCTCTCGGTACCAGGTAGGTAGGTCATATACACCGATCCGCACGTTTCGTTTCCGTCGTCTCGCGTGCGAGGGAGCAACGTCGCCTGCCGTGCTGGCTCTCTGCCTCGCCTCAAGGGAAAGTAAAGTAAAAAGTGCAGCATGCGGCCGCTCGTGTCCGCCAAGCCTGTCCCCGGTCCTCGTGCCGCCGCCTGGACACGTTGAGACATGCATCTTTGCTCTGCAGCTCCAAGAGACGCTGCCCTGCCGACTCCTCGCTGCCCTGCCGACTCCTCGCTACGCTGTCGGGCCGGGCGCGGCAAATGATTCGGGGCCCAACGTCCCTGGTCCATCAGCCTGAAGTGCAGCCAAAAGGCAGCAGACGCAGCCAAAGGCAGCAGACGCAGTGACAGAAGGCGCTGCGTGCTGTCCTGCGCTGTCATGCTCGTACCGTGCAACGGGCGGCGACGCCCAAGCCGCGTCCCATGTCCTGGCATGTTCGTGTCCCGACCTAGGTGCCCAGCAGGCAGTCGGCCTAATGGATGGACCTTACACTTTGCGTCGAGCACCGCTGACAAACTTCACAACGAGCCTTCATGACCCGAGCATCGAGTCACCAGGCACCCAAACAGGCCCCCCTGCCTCCCTGCCTCCCTGCCTCCCTCATCTCCCGACCCGCGCAATGAGGCCACTGAGTTTGAGCAGACTTAAGCTTTGTCAGAAGAGCCTTCCCTACAAACGAGACGTGAGAGAGAGAGAAAGAGAAAAAAAAAAACTTTGAGATACCATGTACTGCAGATCAAAATGGGCTCCCTCCGGATCCCCAGGGATCACCGCATCCAGGCTCCACAGGGATGAAACACGCGCGGGCGGGGGGGGACATTTTCGCATCTCGACATGCCAGCAGCCCAGCACGGACAAGTCAGCACGGACAGACGGCGCATCGTTCGCGAGCTCGCTACAACGGCAAAGGCAGGACGACCAGGAGGCTGTGCTGCAGGTGGATCGTCATCTGGCACGCCCGTCGGACTGCCTACCTGTACATGTGCCTAGGTAAGCTTGCCTAGGTGCCTGAGAACGGAGAGATCTTCACATCAACGGTGGCATTCAAATCTTAACATGGTTTGGACTGGGAGGGCGAGCGTTTGACTTTCCCCTGCATGCCCATCTTGTTTGTGTTTGTTTGTCTTGATGTCGTTCAGAGCATGTAATTCCTTAAGGACACGTCACGCCTTGCTGCGAACAGAGGCCTGCTCATCCCGGCGAGACCCTGTCAAGCCTGTCCACCGGCGAAATGCAGCCAGAGCCCGTCGCCCTGAGGGGGGCTTGACGTCGTGGTGCAGTGAAATGGTGCCCCTCTTGTGCATCTGGTCGACGCCTGCCCTGAATGGAGGGGGTTACTATGTACCATGTCCTGGCCGCGGCGGGGGCTCTTCCAGCGCTGGGTGACGAGCTGGACCCTGGAATTCCAGGGTCTTTGGCGCTAACGTCAGTGTGGATCGTCCCCGTCCAAGAATCCCCTTCGCAAACCTCGCAAACTCGGACACTCGCGAAGCGACAGCAGGGCACCAACATGACACGAGCGACAAGTCAGACAAGTGCAATTCTTCGATCAAT